TCTGTCTATAACTTCCGGTAAACAAATAGTTGTAGCGGTACAACAATCTCCAAAGCAACTGTAGCCACTTGTCCAGTTTTTTAAAAAAAAGAAGCAATCATCCGCTTTAGAAGCACTTTGCACGCGCGCCACGCCGAAACCACAGCTCATCTCGAAAGACCCATACGCTCGATTGCTGCTTTGTTTTGGGATCGTAACTATAAATCCATGTTTCGTCACCTGTTACTATGTCCCACATCCAATTTGACGCCCCTTCGTTGAATCTGGCAACCATGGCATTGCACCAAATGGAGTGACGCGACCTGTTTTTTGAGCCTCAGTCAAATTGTGTGGGATCCACCGAGAGCACAGGTTTTTCACACTCAAATGTTGGTGAAGCCGAGCGAAGCTCCGCTGAGCCGTTGAATTACAATTAAAGTCGTAGAAAATCATACTACGAAAATTTTCATGAGTTAAATCCATGATGATGTAGACAACCAATTTCTAAAATGACGCCATAATGTAAAATCAAGTGACAGTCAGATAAACTGGATTCTGCAGCCAGAGTTCCATTTTCAAATGTTGTAAATACTTTTTAAATATTGTTTATGTAAGCGGCCAGTTCCGGAAAATATTAGGTCCTGTGATTGCATTCTAAAAGTCGTGAGTGAATTGCAGAAAAAACACGAAAATAGTATTAAAGCGGGGCATTTTAACGAGGCTAGATTTTTTTGAGGCTAGAGATTTAGGTGAGGTGTGGGGCGTGGGGGTCGCCTCTCGCGTTTCGCATTCCGCGAGCTGCAAATTAAAATGAACAAAATAAGAACAGGCATGGAAAACTTGATACAGATCCGACGTCGACAAGCACCCGATGGCGACTGACGGGGCAACACGCGGCGCGACTCTGGGCAATATGCAAATTTTTGAGATAAATGTGATTTAATCAATTTTAAATACTCGATTATAGTGACACTGGAAAAAGGCAAGGACGCGAGTCGGAATGTCTAGACATAACGGGTCCTAACGTTATTCTCTTACTAAACCACTAATGTGATTACCATCTGTGTATATCTGTGTAGTGTCATTTGCACTGCTTCTAGGTTTCCATATGTTTGACGAGCATGGATTTTTTTGTCAAGGTAACAAACAGGCTGAACAAACATTTGATATAATTATTATTATTATCAGCATGGTTAAAAAAACACAATTAACATCTATATTTTTATTATCGTGTACACAAACAGGCAACTTCGATACCCCTGGTATTAATCACAAATAAATAACCCTATCACTAATGTAATTGAGAAACATTGTACAGATACATTTTTACATAACATTATTATCACTGATTATCGTGCACTAACTAGATCTTCGCTTATCGTCTGCACTAATACTTAGTCATAAAAATATATATATATTATTATCATCTTGATATCTCTTCATTCTGGTTTATTCTGCTTGACTGTAACAAAGAGGGTAAAGAAGATTAGTAAAGTAAGATAAAGATTAAAAACATGTCGCTAACAATTTGTATTTGGATATAAAATGTCAAATTACTTTCTACAGTACATTTACGTTGCCAATTCGCCATTGAGTGTGCACAAATTGACTTGGACGTCTATTGGCAACTTCCCTTATGTATGTTTTTTGCACAAGATGCACAAGAGTCTTTTTAACCGACTTCAAAGAAAAAAGGAGGAGGTTCTCAATTGGACGTATGTTACGCGATAACGCATTTCAAATGAAATCAAATTTGTGAACCGATTTTGATGATTCTTTTTTGTAGTTGGAAAGAGGGTACTGTAACTGAGGCGTAGCTTGGGATGCGTAGCGAGAAGTACTTTTATGAATATAAACTGGAATAATCTTCGAAATATACTTTATTGCAGTTTTTTACATGCTTATAGTGTTGGGTTATATTTCGTAATCTATCAAGATGCTCTTTATTTTCTTATTCTTTTTCTAACTTCATTTTCCAACACACATTCTAATTACAAAACTATTCATTCAGCCAGTGATTCTACTCATAGAGTAGAGCCTAGACTACAGTACCTCAGTATTGGTCCCATTTACATTTGAAGGAAATATTCCACCACTAAGGGTGTCAAACTAGGCGATGAATTCGGTTCTTCGGGACTGTCCGGTAACAGATTTCAATAAACTTTGGCAAATAGATGTAATTCCACAAAGTTGTCGTGGTCGTTTTTTTTTTAAAGAAAGATTTTGTTATATACTATAGGATAATGAAATTAGAATTAGAATGTTACATGATGCGCATGGTGTTGGTGAATCCTGAGCCCTGCTTCCAGCCGGTGACGATGACTACGTGGTCCGAGGTGCGGATGAAGCCGCGCGCGCGTCCGAACTTCAGCCCGAACTGCACGCGGTTGTCCACGTCCTTCAGCCAGTCGGCCGCCACGGACTCTGCCGAAGATCACGATTACGTCAATAAAACTTTGACAATATTACAAAAATGTTCACCTTTCGTCTCCAAATCTCATGTGATGGAAATAATAAGGGTAAAGAAAAATAATAACAATAACGCACACACTAAGGAAATCCTGTATCGCGGGTGCCATGGACACACAGAGACAACCACAACTTACGCCCAAACTCACGAGAGAAACAAATGTAGGCCGTACAAATATTTATTGGCAAACCAACGTGGTAACCGTTCGGCCACAGAGGCAGTATAAGAATGAATAATAGTTAACACGTATATTGACGGCGACCGATGGTTTATCAGCACAAATAGTGCGAAGTACAGTAAAATTTACTGTCCATCTCTTCACGTTAAAGGTTAACTTTTCTAAAAACGTTAACGCTCTGAGCGATGAATAGGCGGGAGTTGGATTACTTGTCTTATTATTCTATGACACGGACCTCGCTCTTATTCTGCCATAGCCCGTCAAATAGTACAAAACATATCAGTTAAATTTGAAATCTTCTAACTCCGTTTCTGAATTATAAAATATAATATCTAGATATTATATTATTTTAGTTACAAAATAAATAAAGCTAAATAATCACAGATTGTCATATCGTCGCTTCTTTTAATTTCTCAAACTCTTATCTTAAAACACAAAGTAACTGAAAAGCAAAATAACATGCATTGTATATTACAAATTTGCAGCCTGATTTTACATCACATTTCCTTCGTATTCACACACTGGCTTTTACCTATTCTTAATATTTTTGATAAGAAATTTAAAATAAATAGAAATGTTTGCCATCTCCTGAATACTTTTTATAAGATACGTATGGTTGAGAAGATATTATTTTTAGTAATTCTGTGTTTAGTGCTTTCTCAAAAGTTCACATTAATGACAATGACAATAACGCACACACTCAACACAGTCCCGCACTAGGGAAACCCTGTGTCGCGGATGCCATGTTCATACACATAGACAACCACAAATTATACCCAAACATACCTGCGCGTGGCAGTCCGATACGGTAACCGCTCGACCACGGAGGCAGTAAATGGAGGTACGAGGTCACGAATGACGATGGCGGATGTATACCTTGGTAGACGATGGGCAGCACGCCGCGGTAGAGGTGCGCCTGGCGCGCCGTCTGCGCGTGGCGCGTGACGGCGATGATGGGGCAGCGCGGCCGGTACTTGCTGAGCAGGTGCGCCGAGCGGCCGCTGGTGGTGATCACCACGATGGCCGACGCCAGGCACTTGGTCGACGCCTCCACGGCCGCGATGGCCACCGAGTGCGTGCTCTCGATCGGGGCCTTCACCTGAAGCCGTTTGCGGTACACGTCACTTCAACTCTAGGCCATAAATAACTGTCGGAATAGAGAATAGGGAGGGTGCTTTACGCGCACCCGGGGCGACTCACCTAAGGCACTAGCTTTACAGAGAACCGGGTGAAGTCCGTGCAAACGGGCTAATCCGGGATTAGGACCTGACTTAGATGGTCCTTGTGCGAGTTCGCTCGCACAGGTCATAGTGCCCTTCCTGCATACCAAGACGTTGATAGGGAGGGACACTATAAACAAAACTTATGTAGACTAGAGAGACTACGGGCTCGACGGCAAGATTGGGGTACAACGGTTGTCCGGGCCAAGCCCTCCGCCAGTAATGCGACTTTGCTGGCGTCTCTGATAGACCCGGATTTGGGTACGGACTCGCTGGGGTTAGTGGTTAGCTGCAGAGACGGACATGTTTGTCTGCACCGGTTGGGTGTGGCCGGTAGATCAGTCTCGTGGGCAGCTAGCGCGTCTTAGTAGAAGTCTAGTTGAGGGCCTGAAGCGAGGAGACGCGCGGGGCACGTGAGTTGCCCTTTAAGTCAGTGGCTATGTCCAGACATTGTCGCAGGACAATGCCACTTGGCATCTCCAGCGCTAGCCCTAGAGCTAGAAAACTTCCGGTCCCTCCGCGCCGCGTAGGAATTTGGGAACTGGAGAGACGCCGTTCATTCGGCGTTGGGAAGTGAGCGTGCCTTACAGCTCCGCCACCAATGAGAAGATTTGGTAGTCGACTTAGAGTCGGCGGCTTAGCGGTAGCAACCTTTAGTCGTACCGAGCGCGACGGGAAGTGAGCGTGCCTACAGCTCCAGTACCTATCTGGAAAATACGGAAGGTGCTGTACGTGCACCCGGTGCGGCTCACCTAAGGCACAAGTCTTACAGAGAACCGGATGAAGTACGTGCTAACGGGCTAATCTGGGCTTAGGACTTGACTTAGATGGTCCTTCCCGCATAACCAAGACGTTGATAGGGTGGGGCACTATAACCAAAACTCGTGTGGAAATATATGGGACCGTCCCTATCTAGTTGTCCCTATTTACCGACCCGAGAGTCAACGGACGCTCTCTCTTCGCTACTCAACTCGCTTCAGTCGTGATTCAATCTTATTGATTATGATTCCCTTCACTTGCTTAGGTTTCAATACAAGCACTGGCGTCAAACGACAACTTTGCAGCCTATTTCATGTGTAAAATTTTACTTATGGAGCAAATTATTATTTGACTTAGACGTTCACTATATGTGCTATTGGAATAGTTTTCGCTATGTGCGTGTGTGCACAATAACCATAATATTATTGTCATATCCGGTTGCAACAAATTACATTTTCCGATCGTTCTATACAATTCGATATCGGATGCTTTGAACCATACAATTTTACAATAGTAATAATAATAATAATAAATGATAGCTTAAAACGAAGAACGTCTCAGTTACATTGATGTTGATTTTCAGGTACAATGTTGCTATTTAAAGCATTTTTGTACAAAACTTTTGAATGTTGCTGATTAACCCACTATTCCTACTAATAAGAAAGACAATATGAAACGGTACACATTATTGAATTTCAAATAGGTCATACCTGAGCAACTAGATCATTGAACAGCTGTTTATGCCAGATAGCCGCCTCAGCCTCCTTGCAAATATTTGCCATGGTCCGGACGCACTCCAGAGGATAGTCTCCCTTCGCAGTCTCTCCGGATAACATGACGCAGTCGGCTCCGTCCAGAATGGCGTTGGCCACGTCTGAGGTCTCAGCGCGGGTTGGACGAGGCTTCTTCACCATGGACTCCAGCATTTGAGTTGCGCAGATTACAGGCTTACCCACCTGGGAGCCGAAAAGGAGATTGGTAACTGCCACACTATAGTAGTTAAGTTGTTGGGTTTTCACGATTGTGAATAAGTATGTATATTATCAAACAGTATATTGAAAATGTGATATACACTTTATTCCTAGTTTGGCTACGGAACCTTAAAAAGGATTTCAGATAATCAATCTACTATTGCTGAGTTTGTGACCATAAAATGTCTGTCGTATTACGTGGTCTGCTGAATTTACTTTACTTTACACAGGGTGGTGCTACAATTTACCTTAACTGTACCAGTTTCTATCGATATATTTATAGTACGGTTCTATACGCAAAAACCACAAGTATCTATAGTAAGGCAGTCCACTATTTTGCATCAGATTATTTCTTTCCCAGTTTGAGTGGGTACTGTAAAAAACTCACAACGTAACAGTAGTGTTGTGTTGTAACATAGAGAAACATATAAATAATATATGACTTACTTGATTGCATCTGGCTATCATGGTTTTTTGGGCGAGGAACACTTTTTCTGGTGGGATCTCAATGCCAAGGTCGCCGCGAGCGGCCATTATGCCGTCAGATTCCTGCAATTATAAACAACAAACTTAAAATCAGACAGAAGTCCACATTAACCACATTAAATGTTGACTACAGTGTAAGAGACTTCACGGACTCTCATATAAGATGATGTGAAAGAAGTGATGAACGCTTCAACTCTTTCATAACGTAATATATATAACATAAAATATAATAATATGTAATAATAATAAATAATAGTAAGGTGTCTATTTTAAGAACCTTTAGTTTATGTTCTGGTTTATTAATTATTCGAGAGTACTATTAATTTGCTACACCCCAATGGGGTATGTTTGTATTTGGTAATTAACTGTGTAATGTCTGTACTAACATTGCAATAAATAAATGAAACGAATTAATTCACAAATTAGTTCTACTGTGAATTGACACTGATCACTCATGAATGCACAGTGTTTGACTATTACAAAATTGTCAAAAGAATATTTTTATTAAATAATCATATTAGTAAAGCTCTTATTGAAAACTTACTATCAACTCCACAATATATGATTTTATTTAATTCTTAATATAAATTAAGCATTGATATTCTGTCAGTGTTTCATTATTATTATACTTCTAAAAGTGGACAGCCACTAGTCTTGGGCCAGTATCAGTGTTTTTTAAATAATACAGGTTGGCCTATTTACAGTGGTCCAAATTATTTTATTTTAGATAGAGGACTTTGTAACAACCCATTTAAAATAAACAACTTCTGCGAAACTCTTAGTTTAGAAATTATGATTTTTATGTATTTTTTTGGAAATATTCTACTCTAGTCATTAACACCACTCTAGTTTGAAAACAATAACACTAAATTAATTGAAATTTGGAATGGAAGTAATGTGACCATGTAGCTAGCATGCAATGAGCCATTTTTATGTTTGTTCTTAGATTGCGCCGTTATTTTAAAACCTTATGAGAATTTTTTATTTGTTCACGAAATAAATGTAATTTTTTTTTTTAAATTCCTGTGAAAAATGTACAAAAAATGTGTAAAAATTGCTAATGGCCTTAAAATCTACCATAAAATGTAGGGATTGTTTACAAAGAAAATTGTAGTGTATTGCAACTTGGCCCGGCGCTTGTGTTATTTATTTTATTAATTTTATGCGGAGGGAGAGTGGGAAAATTAACTGCATTATAAAAACTTTGAAAATATAAAAAAAAATATTCAACACAAGCGCAGCTATTTTGCACGATTTAATCTTCACTGGGTTCGCGGGATAGCAGATTAATTTAATTCAATTTTTATTATATCAAAATATAGTATTCGCTTCTATGCTCTAGCCAAATTCGATGTAGAATGTTTAATAACAAAACGTTGCTAGGCAACCACTGATGTCATAGGAAAAGGACATTTTTTCAATGCTCATTATTAAGGCTTGCTCTGCCCACGGCCTGCTCTCGTAATTGGAATTTAAATAGGTAAGCAGGTAAGTGGGTTATATAGAAGTAATACTTACCTAGCCAATTATTATAAAGTTTACAAAATACCTACTGATTCGTATGATTTAGGAATAAACATAAGTTTTTGCATCCTATTAATATTTACTGCTAGATAGTGGTAGATGAAAAGATACAAAAGTTTTAGAAAAAAGATTTTATTTGATATTAATTTACTACATACTATATCATCCAGAATCTATTTCCGATTCCGAACTTGCATTACCAGTAGAACTCGAACGTTTGCAATCTCTCCCTTCAAATCAAAAAGTCACTAGAGATGACACAGTTTTACAAATAATTAATTATTGATTAGGAAATGAAACCATGGGACCTGTAAAGGGCCCGAAACGTCGGTTTGTTTGAAAAAACAAATATACGCGATTTAAATCCGGAAAAATAGTTTCATTTCCTATGTGTAACAATCGCGAAAACCTAAGAACTCGATAATTATTGATTGGTCATTTTTATGTCATTTGAAACTTCTGTTGAATAATATTATATAAACATGGCTTCAACATTTAGTATTATCCATAATCTAGTTGAATGTCGTAGGAAAATATTGAAATTGTAGTAACTGAACTGATGAAGAGTCTTGAGATGAAAAATCGTATGTTTTTGTTTGTTGACATTTATTCTACATCGAATTTGGCTAGAGTAGTTGCCGGTTGCTTGTATTCAACATACGACACACGTTAGCGCGACGACTTAGACCATTTTCTCTAGTCTACTCGGAATTTTAAAGAGATTCATTCTAAAGCTGTTTGGTGCAACAAATCTTGTTACAAAAGTCTCTAGATTACGACACAGAAAATATTTTGTAAATATACTTACGGCAATAATCTCATCCAAGTTGACCATGCCCTGGTGGTTCTCAATCTTGGAGATGATTTTGATGTTCTTGCCTTTCTCGCCGAGGATGTCGCGGATCTCCTTCAGCGCCGCGCCGTTACGGATGAACGATGCGAAGATCATGTCCACCTGGATTCAAAACGTAAACATTTTTGTATACAGAAGCTACTGCAACTGCGTTTACATTGTCTTGTATTATCTTACTATATATATCAATAATAAAAAATATTTTGCAATCTATTTATTTCTTAAGCTTTATATAATTTATAATTTGGACTAGTTTATGCCAACAATGGGTACATTTAATGCGTAATTGACGAAGGTGCAATCGTCGAATATTTGTAAGTGCGGCCCACTGTACTTTATGAAATTTTCTTATGTTAGCGGTGTAGCATCGTTTCTACACTAAGATCCCCATTAGTTATTAATCGCAATTTATCCTTATGCTTATCAACATGTCATAAATGTTGGACGATGTGTTTAAATTTGTTCACGAATTCATCAATCAGCTTTGCTTTCTCTGCGTCTTTTCCGAGTCGAGGCGCATAATTGCGATTCACAACTGGCCGATCGGAAACTTTTGACATTTCTAATCGGAACATAGGTTGATTTAATTCACAAATTAGAAAGATATAGTAGGAATCAGGTTCATCTTCTCGCTCAGAAACCCCTCTGATTTCGAGGATTTGAGTCAAAATCAGGACGCAGGCCAATTCACTACCTGCATTGCAGACCGCCGGGTAGGCAGGAAACTGCCCACACACTATCCTGCGTATAGCCCACGTATGCAGTCTCGCAGGACGCATTATAGAATTGCGGGATGGCTTTTACGCTGCGACTACATTCATAGTCCTGCTTTACGCGGCAGAACGCCCCCTTTAAGCGCGTTTACACACTGCATCCAATACGTATTCGTTCCGAATCCGAGACTACACAAAACTAGAAAACTCGGCCCCACTTCGGATGTCGCTTGTGCACTAAGTAAGACTCGGATAGATTCCTAAGATACGGAGAAAATATAAAATATCGCTTGTACACCTACAGATAAAAGTAATCCCTTGACATTTCGGACCGTCATTTCTCAGATTCGGAACGAGGAGGATACGAATCGGACGTAATGCGTAAACATTCTAGTGTAATGCGAATGCTCCAATGCTCACATTCTGTTCAACACCGAAGATCAGATCAGACTTGTCCTTTTCCGACACTGCGGGCAAGTCCACGGGCAAACCAGGCAGGTTGACACCTTTGCGGGAACCCAGCATGCCTGATGAATAGATAAAAATTATAATATTATACTGAAAACAATCGCTTACGCAGTTTTGATTATAACCTGACTAATTTGACATTTCACTTTAGACTAATGTTATCTGTGGATCATAATTTATTCCACTGTCGCGCAGTCTTAAGTTCCTTATAAAATACATTGTCTTTTGATAATAGTAAGTATAAGTTAGACTAAACAATGATTATTTTTGTGGTATGTCCATCTGTACCATTTAAAAATTCAAAATTATATTTTAGGCTTTGGGAGAGGCGAGTCCAAAATAGATATAATATTAATAATAATCGTTTATTGTCTCAACACATTAATAAATAATATTATTGAAGTTCCATAGTAAATTAGGCAATTGCGTAATTATTAATTAATTATCTCGCATTTTTACTTGCGGCCTCTGCATTAAACTTGTGTCGCAGAGACCGTTTTACATTGTTTTA